TTTACTGACTCGAACTTTGTCACCAATTTTAAACTTTGACTTTTTCAAAGGTATCTTTCTTAACTTTAAAAATCGTTCTTTTAAAATTTCTACATCTTCTGCAGTTACATCATTAGGCTTCATTCCAATTGTTCGATGTTTTGTATCATTGTAATTGGAAACAAGAGTATTTATTATGTCATACCACTTGTAATTTCCTCGTAAACTAAATTGCATCCACATTTTTCTTTTCAAAGTTCTATTAAATCGTTCGACAATGGATGCTTTCATATTACTATATGTTGAGTATAAATTAATTTTTTCCTTTTTATTAAAGCTTTAAACTGTGATTGTAGAATTCTTTACCTTTATCTGTATGCAGGTTTTTTGGTATACGTCCTTTGACAAAAAAAGACTTCATTGCATCGGTGACGTCATTTCCATTTTTACTTTTTACAGCAATAGCCCAAGCATACTTGGAAAATGTGTCTATTACTGTTAGTAAGTACTTAAAACCTTTATTTACTTTTGAATAAGGTAACATTTCTACTAAGTCAGGTTGCCAGGTCTCATCGATATCACGCATTTCAACGCGGCGACGATGATAATTCTTTCTCGCTTGTGTGTGAATTTCTTTCACTACTGTCAACTTTTTGTCATTCATTTTCAAGAGATCTCAAATGACTGTCCAGTTCACCAATAATTTCAGCGTTTTTATATGATAAATATTGATTTATTTGTCTTTCAAGATTGTATAATTTTTCTGATACTGAGCCTTCCAAAGTTTTTAATAGCACATTACCGTTGTCAGTATCCAATAAATTTTTCTTTGTTTGTTTTTCAAGAGCTTTCGTTTCATTTTCAAGAGCTCTCAAATGACTGTCCAGTTCACCAATAATTTCAGCGTTTTTATATGATAAATATTGATTTATTTGTCTTTCAAGATTGTATAATTTTTCTGATACTGAGCCTTCCAAAGTTTTTAATAGCACATTACCGTTGTCAGTATCCAATAAATTTTTCTTTGTTTGTTTTTCAAGAGCTTTCGTTTCATTTTCTAGAACTCTCATACGAATATCTAGATCACCAATGATTTCAGCGTTTCAATATGATAAATCTTGATTTAATTGTCTTTCAAGATTGTTTAATTTTTCTGATACTGAGCCTTCAAGAGTTTTTAACAACACATTACTGTTGTCAGTATCCAATACATTTTTCTTTGTTTGTTTTTCATTTTCGAGAACTCTCAAACGAGCATCGATTTCACCAATAATTTCTACGTTTTTATATGATAAATCTTGATTAATTTGTCTTTCAAGATTTTTGAATTTTTCTCCTATAGAGTCTTCATGAGTTTTTAATAATACATTACTGTTATCAATGTCTTGAAAATTTTGATTTATTTGATTCTCCAGATTTTGAAGTTTATCTGTTACAGAAGCTTCAAGAATTTTCAACAACATGTTACTGTTGTCAATATCTAATCGTAGTGAAGACGTAACTTGATATACTAGTTGCACTTCGTTCTTTATCTTATGTTGAGTAAGTAATAAATTAACTGCATCACCTTCTGCTTTAGCTTTTGCAAAGTTACAAATTGTTTTACCTTCACAGTCATAATTATCTTCTGAATCTACTTTAAAACCAACTCCAGGAGGTCCAGGTGGTCCTCGTTTTGCTGCTACAGTTCCTCCTCTATTGAGGGGATGTCCGAACACATCAATGCTCATGATTGAAATGGATAAAAATTGCAGAAATATATCTTAATATATGATCTTAGCTTCTCGCAATTCTTCAATGATGGACAATATTTCATTATTATGACTAGGATTACCAGCTGATTAAGATGCCATGAGAAGCCGAAGAAAGTCAACCATTTCATTCGGGTCATCCCAATAGATATAGTCTGGTTTAAAATTTCTGTTTGTAATCATAAATTTTGGCAGTGAACTACCACTGACATATGGTTCCCTTCTTTGTGGGAACAGTACAGATATAAAATTCATAAATTTAAAATTTTTATCTGTACGAATTGGTTCAGAGGAGCTATACTTCTTTTTATGTGCGTTGGAAGCAATAAGAATTTCTTTATAATTTTTCTCATCTTCTTCACTAATATATGCTTTCTCAGGTTTATTTTTAAATAAAAGTTCTAATAACCCAGTGGTAACATTAAAAAGTTTATCTCCAATATTCACCAAGTGATTATCAAAACTTATTGGTTTATCACCAATCATAAAAGATCCATCTTTGAGTTTGCGTACTCCATATACTGTATCCAAACACTGCTTTCTGTTATGATTTATCAAGTACAAATATTTACCAACTACTTTTTCATAGTCAAATCCTGGAATAGTTTCATTCTCATCAACACTTATATAATCTTTTTCATCTTCTTCTTCCTTTTTTCAATTTTAAAATTTTCACGTTTAATATTAGTCAAGTTCACAATTTTTTTCAAGGGTTGTACTATAGGTTTGAAAGTTTCATTTAATGCATTTTCAGCATCTTCTTTACCCAATTTCAGTATACGATGCTTCCTTCTAATTGCCTTACTCGCTTTAGCAATTTGATGAAAATATTCTTTCTCTTTATGATACATGTTGATATTTCAAGGTTTAAACCAAAACTAATACATTTTAAGAGATGATCATATATTTATAGTGTTACAAAACTGTCAAATCCTTTTCTATATCTTCCCTTATTTAAATCGGAATTTTTATCAATAACAACAAAACCATACTTGTCTGAATTCCAACATTTTGAACTACCGCAAAAGGTATAAATACAACGCTTATATAGCTTTCAAGTCATTCCTCTTTCAACTTTCATAGAGTAAAGTATGATTTTACATCGTCGCTCTCGAGGTAAAGGTTTGATTAATAATCTTATAAATAAATAACCATTTGAATTGCATTTGCCAAGTTACCCATACTGTGGACCAGGTACAAAATTAGCTCAAACGACTCTAGTATTGGTGAAAAAGATGCTGCTTTAGCTATTTCTGGTACAATGAAGGTTAAATCAAAATTAGGTATGGGGGGTAAAAAGAAATCAAGGACAAAAAAACGAGTTAATCTTAGAAAAATTTTTGATGTTGCTAGGAAATCCATTATTTCAGGCAATGATCCTAGTTCAACAATTAAGGCAGTTATTGAAACTGCTCGACAAGCTGTCAAAAGAGTGGGAGGTAGAAAAAAAGTATTAACACCTCGCATTCTTCCAGTACCAACAAAAGTTGGTGGTCTATTACCATTAATTCCAATTTTTGCTGGACTCAGCGCTCTTGGAGCACTTACTGGAGGAGCTGCAGGAGTTGCAAAAGCCGTCAATGATGCAGGTGTAGCCAAAAAAAGATTAAAAGAAGCTCAACGTCATAATAGAGCAATGGAAGAAATTAAACTACCAAAAGGTCTTCACTTGAAACCATATAAACAAGGCTTGGGCTTGCATTTAAACTCTTTGTTAAAAGGATGAGGTCTACATTTAAAATCTTATCAAAAGCGTCAAGGAATAAAAAAAAGATCTTAAATCTTCCTGAACGACCATTAAATAATTTTGATATAATCAAGTATGCTAAAGCAATGAAAATTCCTCATTTTCGAGGAGTCTTTATGCGAAATGAGTTACCTATAGGAGGCCCTAGAAAAAATGAATCAGCAATTATTAATCTCGATGATATAGATGGTCCAGGTACTCATTGGGTAGCATTTAAGAAAGTTAAAAATAAAGCAGAATATTTTGACAGTTTTGGAAATCTTCAACCACCATTAATACCCCCTGGCAGTTACGAAATAGAAGATATTGAAAAGTTTATTCAAAAATCCATTTCTGATGAGTCAAAAATTATAAGTATAAAACCAAATAACAATACTTTACGTAGTAAAATAAAAAGCAGTCTTAAATTAAATTTTACACTGGAAGATTCTAATGGTGAATTATTGGGTTTCACTGCACGAGCTATAACTACCAATAACACTCATACATCTGATATGCCAGTAGCTATTCTAAGGGTAAATGCTATCAGAATTGAATGTAGCATTACCACTGGCGCATACATTAATAATAAAAAGGTACATACAATTCATGAAATCTTTCCAGTTGTTCCTGATGGATATAAAATCGTGGAAGTACCATCTCACATCATTTATCTTCCGATCGCCGTAAAGATAATACATAATATTCAACTACGTTTTGTTGATCAAGACGGAGATTTGATAAATTTTCGAGGTAAAACTATAACAATTCGATTACATATCAAGTCAACATAATGGGTATTGTATACCATAGAAAAACTGGTGAAAGCTATATAAGTGAATCACCATGTCAAAAGACATTCAGGGGTTCGATTATGTAATATGATTTGACTTTGACGCCAAAGTCAATTTTTTTTGACAAATTTATTTCTTATTTTAATTTTAAGTCAATTAATTATTTTTCTTTGCATACTATCGCATTTAATAAAGGTTTAACATTTAAGAACTAAAAATAATAATAATAAAATTTAATATTTCTATTCTATTACAATTTTTAAAAAGTGTTGGTTACTTTTAAAGGGTGTAAAAATTGCTGACGAGCTACAAAATGAATTTGAACATTTCAACAAAAGGTAAGTTATGATTTTCAATTTAATTTAATTTAATTCAATAATTAACTTGGAAAAGTCAGTTTTTTATTTACTATCTTAAAATGGATTTTTCAGTCAATGATCATAATAAATTATAATAAATAATTATTTAAGTAAAATGTAAAACATGATGAATAAATTTAAAATAATTTAATAAACTGAATTTAAATTATTATCAAATACTTTAATTAACAGGTTTTTTTTTCTTTTTATTATATTTCATAACGTATTATTGTAACCAAAAAAATAATAATAAAAATAAATGAAAAACAGAAAGAAACTCTTTAACGACCATAATATAAATATAATATAATAATATAATATAATACAATATAATATATAATATATAATAATATAATATAAATCTTAGTAGCATTTGATTATTGATTGATGATTGATGATGATTGACTGATGATGATTGACCATTGATGATTCGACTATTGATTATTTATTGGAGCTGTTATAATTGTTTGAAAAATCTGTTGAAATACAGGAGATATAATTTTTTTAATATTTTTAAAATGGTTAAATTAAAATCATATAGTTCAATTGGTTGGTTTCGTAACCTATTATTTAATATTGAATTCTAACAAAAAATATATAAAATATTTAATTTATTTTATTGTCTCAACTTCTAAGTCTCTCAATTAGTTGTTAAAAATAAACTTTTAGATAATTTCAATATAATTTTCTGAATATTTTGTAACTTACAACCTAAATTCGTTTCTCAACCCGGCTACATTTTCTGAAAGTTCTTTCAAACAATTTATAGTTTCTCTATGGTTCTTCTTTTCAAATTCAAAAATTTCTCTCTTTAATTTTAGGTTTTTATCCGCTTGACTTACTTGGAAATTCAAAACTTCCAAAGCACTTTTGTCTACAGTATATATTTAATTATAATTATTTTCTGTTTATTTATGTTTATTTAATATTTATTTACTATATTACGAATTTTTAAATAAATTAAATATAGCATTAACCCTTTATTTTTGAACGTTTCGTATCCCTCTCTGAATTCCCTTTAATTGCTTCTGACTCATCATCACTTCTGTCACTCTCGGAAGAATCTAAAATATGAATAAAAATTATAAATTTTTACCCTAATTTATTGTCAATTGAATATTTTTTACGTTCACTATTATTATTTTTATTATTATTATTAATAAATAATATATTATACTATATTATGCAACAAATTTATAGTCCTTATTTTTTTCCCAAATCAGCCTAATTTTAAATTAAAGTTAATATATAAACTAATTAAACCCTATAAATGGTTTTGAAAAATTAGCTCTATTCTTATTTTATATAAGCTTCGTTTGTAACTACAATGTGTTTAATTTTTCAGTTTTTATGATGTTTATTTTTAAAAATTAAATTAAATTAATAAATAAATAATAAATAAATTATTAATAATAATAAATAAATTTAAATAATGTATTAAACAATTTTAAATTTAAAAGTTAATAAAAAAGTATAATATGGTTATTTATTTACGTTATGTCATATAATCAAGAATTATTAATTTAATATTAATATTAATATTACTGTTTAAATAGTAATTGAATTATATTTTATAATCACCCTCTAATTTTCTTTTTTGAAACTCATTTTGCTTTATTCCTGAAGGCCCGGGTAAAATTAATTTTTTTTCTTCTTTCGAGTCTAAAGCTAATATGTACAAGAAAAATATTATTTAATTGAAATAAAAATTTTAATTTCTAAATTTAAATTTTTTGGGTATAATTATTTTAAACTAATTTGTTTGTTTATAAAACAAACGGAGTAGACAAAAACCATTTAAAATAAATAAATAAATAAAAAACTATCACATTCTGTCTACAATAACTAAGATTAAAATCTAAATTTGATTATTTTATTAATTTGTTAAATTATAATTTGCTTAATTATGAATTTTTGTATTAAAAAAATAATTCAATTTAAAAAATATGTACCTCCAGAATTTTCAATTTTTTGAATTTGAATGCTTAATTTATCTTCTTCCATAAAAATTATATCTAAATTAATAAAATTATTTAATAACACCGTCCGACAAAATTCAACTTTTTTTTTCACACACGAAAAAATCAATGATTTTCAGAAACTAGGACCAAAAAAAAGATACCCGTGTCTGGCCGTTTTGCTAGATCAGGTTATTTTTTAAATATTGTTTTCTAATCTTCCACATTATTAGATCAATTTTGAATTTTAAAAATCTACCTTCAGATGTGTTCTCAGCGACCCCAAAAACCCAGAGATACGAAGTTTTATAAAAAATTAATAACATTTATAAATTTCGACCACCATATTGGATCCGCCATTTTGAATTTTGAAAACCCGACATAAAATTTGTAATCAGCAACTCCAAAAACCTTCAAGTAACAAGTTTCAAGTGAATTCGACAAAACTTTTATAAATTTGAAACGCCATATTGAATCTGCCATTTTGAATTTTAAAAATCTGACTTTAGATTCGTACTCAGCGACCTTAAAAACCCCTAGATACCAAGTTTTATAAAAAAGAATTAATATTTATACATTTCGACCGCCATATTGGATCCGCCATTTTGAATTTTCAAAATTTGACATCACATTCGTTATCAGCGACCCCAAAAACCTTCAATTAACAAGTTTTAAGTGAATTCGATGAACTTTTATAAATTTCGACCGCCATATTGAATCCGCCATTTTGAATTTTGAAAATCTGACATCATATTCGTAATCAACGACCCCAAAAACCCCTAAGTAACAACTTTTAAATGAATTGGTGAATTTTTATAAATTTCGACCGCCATATTGGATCCGCCATTTTGAATTTTGAAAATCTGACATCATATTCGTAATCAGCGACCCGGAAAACCCCGAGATACCAGGTTTGATAAAAAATTATTAATTTGTACAAGATTTCCTATCACCTTTCATTTAAGGGTTGTTTTTACCCCTAAAAGCAAAAAATGACCTGATCTAGCAAAACGGCCAGACACGGGTATCTTTTTTTTGGTCCTAATTTCTGAAAATCATTGATTTTTTCGTGTGTGAAAAATCGTGTCGGACGGTGTAATACTATATTTTTTAATATACTTAAAACAGAGGTAAAAATAATTTTTAAATAGCACTTGAAAATTTACATGTAAAGATTAAATTAAAATAATTATACCATCATTATTCAAATTTTTTAAGAATTCTTCAGGATCAAAATCTTTTTCGTCCTTGAAATCATTCTGAATAATCTAAATTTAATTTTCACATTTTATTTAAAATGTAATAATGGTAATATTTTATGTATATTATAAAACTATAACTAATTTGTTGAATTATAATTTTTTTTACAATTTATAATTTATATTTATTCAAAATTATTTTCATTTTCTTTATTCACACATTAACGAGCAATTTAATTACAAAATTTAATTAAATAAATAATAAATAATATATTTACGCATGTCCTTTGACTTATGAAAAGTACTAACAAGCGGAGATTTGTCGATGTGGATTACGGACTTAAAAATAAAGGGACAAAATACAAATAAAACAACAATTCAAATCAGACTAAGTCAAAACTATGAGAAGACCCTGATATATTATTAAGCTGCTCGACTCAATATATTGTTGTCTATCGCGAAATCTGAGAAACCGTTCATAGTCCCGCAGAATAGCTTTCCTATTTGCACAAACCGTATCCAACGATAGAGTTTTCCATGATTCCGACTGATCACTTCCCTCAAAAAACGCGCTTAGTTGTGAAAACCAGTTGGGCCTTGAACCGGGCCTCCCCAAAACTATTTCTCTAAGCTTCTCGAAACACTGCCTGGGAAACCTAGTATTATCCATTGAAGAAATTTTGCAAATCCAGTTCAGTGTAGCAGATAAAACTTTGTGAGAAAGATGAAGAGACCCAGTCTCTAGCCTTACTGCATAGATTGGTGTATTAACAGGCAACGATAAGAGACTCTTAATAAAAGAGAGTTGAACTCCCTCTATTAAATCTAAATGGTTAATACCCCATGTTTGGACACCGTACAAAAGAATACTCACCGCGAGACTCAAAAACAACTGTTCATAGGACTTCCAGGTATCCATACCAAGGGAATGAACAGTCCCCAGAATAGCCCCGACTGCTGACTTTGCCGCGCTTACAGATTTACTTGCCGCCGGGAGAAAAGAGCCTGATTCATTAAAAATTACTCCTAAATACAAATATTTCTTTACTACCTCAATTTTTTCTTTACCATATGTGAATGATTTGAATTTTTTAGCAGAGGATTTTCCAGAGCGTGTAAAAACAACAATTTTTGTTTTATTGGTGTTAACTATTAAATCGTTTTCCCTACAATAAGAATTCAGTGACGACAATATTTTGCTTAATTCAGTTGGGGAGTCTGCAAGGATAACATAGTCATCAGCATATCCCAACATTAATATTTTTTGAAATCTACTAATAGAGAGACCTCTGCATTCCCTTTTAATAAAATATTCCTCGAAATCACTAATAAAAAGTAAAAATAATAGCGGACTTAAAACCTCACCCTGTAAAACTCCCCTGGTAATTTTTACATAATCAGTACATCCATTTTGAGTTTTAATACAGGTAAAGGCATTCGAATAAAACTGAAACAAGATATTGATAATTTTCGTGCTCAATCCCAATCTTTTAAGTTTCATCCATAAAAGTTTATGTGAGACGGATGGAAAGGCACCCTTAAAATCAACGAACGCGGCATATACAACTGAACCCTTAGTGTTTAAATGAATTTGTATTATTGACATCAGAGCAAAAAGATTGTCCTGACAACTTCTGCGCCGTCTGAAACCGGACTGTGATTCCGGAATCAGATCGCGTTCTGTAGCCCAGGTCACAATTCGATCATGGATAATTTGTGTAAAAGCTTTTGGCAGACAGTTAACCAGAGCGATCGGTCTGTGACTCTCGGGGTTGTCAGTTACACCCTTTTTATGCAACATAATTGTAAAAATCTTACCCCACTCTTTGGGAATGGTTTCAGTGTTTAATATAATGTTAAAAAAATGTTGCATAAAAAATATCCAATTCTGCGGCAAACTTTTGTAAAAACCGTAGCTTATACCATCAGTGCCCGGTGCCCCTCCAACCTTACAACACTGAAGACATTTGGTAATTTCATCAGTGGTGATTGGCTTATCCAACAATTCATTTGTTATAATTGGGTTTGTGCAGAGTTGCGAATCAGAAACAATTGGAGGATAATTCTCTTGTAGAAATTCGAACCAAGTAGGAATGTCTATATCCGAAAATGGTGGGGAACGTGAATTCACCGAGTTAACAATTTTCCAAAAAATCGCAGATTGATTACAATTTGCTAAAGATTCGATAATCCTTTTACGATAATTTAATTTTTTGGATGTGACAATTTTGTTCAAATTTCGCTTTTCATTTAAATAAGCGAATTTGGTTTCCGCAGAAAAATCATTACACTTGGCATGGCATAAGGCCTTAGAAACACGCAGCTTACTTTGTTTGCATTCATCGTCAAACCAGGGTCTCTCTTTAATTGCTAAAAATTTATTACATGAACGTGATATGCCAAGTTCATTCGCTACCTTGATCCAACCGCGAGACTTCCCCTCTCCAAGCCATGTGCGAATGAAAAGTCTCTGCCCTTTTCGAATCGAAGAATAATTTATTCGTCGTGTACAATACCCCTGACGCCAAATGATGGTGGGGGAAAAACTTATACAGCAATACGGGTAGATGATCGGAGAGGGTCGCAATAGGTAGCACCAACAGATCACTGAGCAAAGGCAGGGCCACAAATGAGCACCAAATCAAATCAACGACACTAAAAACTTGATGTCCCGTAAAGGTATAGCTCGCGAGCGTGTCACTTAGTGAACGCCCGTTTAACAGAACAAAACCATTGGTTTACATATTCTCAACCAAGGTCCTGCCCCTTGCATTAATTGTCAAATCTAAAGATTGTCTCATTGAATCAAAGTTGGAGTTTTCGAAAATATCGGAGTTTAATTGATTTAGATTGGCGACACGACAATTGAAGTCACCACCCAATAATATTGGAAGATGTGGAAATTTATTTTTAAGATAAGATAAAATCATATTAAGATTGTCCAGGTATTGAGCAATATCAGAGTCGGGTGATATGTAAATTAGGCCCAGAATGAAGCAATCAGTTTGTAATTTAACTTTAACAAAAATATGGGAAGGAGAAATATCCAATACTGAAACTTTGTAAATTAATTTATTGTAGATTAATAATAGGCCACCCTTTGCTCTGCCAAATTTGCTTGTTTTGATTGCCGGGGAAATAATTAAATTAGTAGGAAATGACGTGACAATTTTGAGACTTACTTTTGTTGACCAAGTTTCAGAAACGCAAACAATGTCCTGCTCCTTAAGACAATTAAAAATATCTTGTAAGTTTTTTATTCCGTGCACATTCCAGAAAAGCACTCGCATTTGTTGAACAGGGGGGCTGGCTGAAGATGGGGCAAACTTAACGCGATTATTTATTGATTGCTATTTCTCAATCCGAAGCGCGGTATCGTTTGGATCTTGGTCAGATGAATTGACCCTGGCTGCTGATGTTGACGATGACGTGCTCACAAAATGGTCCAGAAGTCTTGTACCCGCCAAATTCTCGTCCCCCAAACGAGCGAAATTTGATTTTCTGCCTTTCTTTCTGGGTGTAATGTCAGAAGAAAGTTGACGTTTCAGAGACATAGAAGGAGTTTCTTTTAAACCTTTACCGATAGAATTTTGTTTCTCAGAATCCAGTGAAGATAATAGTGAATCAATTTTTTCAACAGGAACAATTGATCCATCAACTATAATTTTTTCTCCCTTTAATCTGGCATCAAGCCCAATACCCTTTAATTTGTGAACTTGATTCAACAAATTGCGCCGGTACAATCTCTCCTCTTTACTCCTATCATTAGTGATGGCAAAACCGGCTTTGTAAATTTCCTTCACTTTACCGAAAATCAACTTGACCCATTTGGCCGAGATGAATCTTATCAGAATAGGGCGTGCACCCTTATTTTTACCTAACAGGAAGATATCGTCCACGGCTAGCTCTGGGATTTGAAGACCCACTTTCGTGAATACCTCTAAAATAACATTGAGTAAGTTGTTATTAATTTTATCCGAGTCTTCCAGTTTAAAAAAAATCAGATTTTTCGCTCTAATTTGACTATTCAAAAAAGAAAGAGACTCCTCGATGTCAGATATTCTCTTGTCATGCGCCGTCGTTTTCGCGGTAAGTGATTCTACTGCTTTCGTAGAAACATGAATTTCCGAACGAAGGCCTTCGTGGGAGAGAGTAAGTTTGTCTATAGCTAAAAGAAGATTATTCCATCTCTCTTCATCGACCATTACACTCATGGTTAATTGATCACTAATAAATTTACACTGTTGTATAAATACTTCCAATCAATAGACAATTGATATTTGACAAAGACACTGAATAAAAGGCAACAAGGAAGGAATGAATACAAAACATCAGAGGCTATTCATGACTAGATAATGCCAAGAAATAAAACGATCAAAGTCAATTAATTTTAATATGATTAAAAAGTCAAACGCCCAAAAAAAAAAGTCATATCATAAGGGCCATAAGTAGAATTTCACTAACACTTGGAACATTAATCACAGATAAAAAACAAAGGGGAGAGAGCTGCACAAACATCTTACAATTGGTCAGATAACACAGATCAACAACACTATAGTCACAAAAAGATCAGCACAAAGCAACAAAAAAAAAATTTTTTTTAAATAAACCAGAGTAAATGCTCCTCATCCATAAACTGTGGGTGCACAGAGGAGTAAGACAGTAATAAACTGCAACAATAGTTAATAACGAGGCTTAAAATTATGTTCCGAGAGTAGACGGACAATATTTACGTCTGATCACCATGACAGCTCGATCAGCACTCTACCGTTGAATTATAATTTGATTAATTATCAATTTTTGTTTTAATTATTATTAAATTAATAATAATAATAATATAAATAATAAAATAAATAATTATTAAATTTATTATTAAATAATATTAAATTAAATAAATTAAAAAAATAAATCAATTTGAAAACAAGATGAATCTGTTTTTTAATTATTTAAACCTTTTCTGAATTTGAATTGACTGAATTTCCTTTTTTCGGTAAACCAAACTCAGGGACTGCATTGGATCCAAACCGTTGTCCTGGAATTAAACCATTCTCTAATACTATTTTCTCCAACTCAGTTAATTTTGTCGGTTTCAATCGATTCTTTATATCAATTCTTCTTTGATCTTCATTTGTAGTTACAATTCTTTTAAACTCATTCCAAGTCTGTAAAATTAAACATTTTACATATTCTTTGTTTAAATATGGAATATTGGTTAAAGTGTGATACATTATTAAAAAATCAACAATTTTTGAACATAAAAATTTCTCGATTTAAATTAGTATTATAACAACAATAATAATAAATAAAACATTGAATATTTGTTTAAAATAATAATAATAATATTAATATTAATATGAATATTAATATTAATAATTAATAATAATATAATATCTATATTAATAAAATCAGACTATTAATAAAATCAGACTTTTGTCTGTACATTGCTCCAAATTAATTTTTTCTTGCATAGTTTATCATTTTAAGTAGTAAAGATAACAAATATACCATAAATAAAAATTCTGTCTGTCTGTCGTCAATATTTTGTACCGGCACAACTTTAAAACGGCTCAACCGATTGAGGTGAAACTTGGCAGTGTATTCAGTCTTAACGTAACTTAAAATCTTAGCCATATTTGATTAAAAAATATTAACATGAACGAAAGTTATGACATTTTTTCAAAAAATTTAAAAAAATCAAAAAAATGCAAATTTTTTATTTTTTGTCAGATTGATTTGAAACTATTTGTACCTAATTTTTTCACATAAATACAATCAATTTTTTTATTAAATTAAGTAAATAGTCTGAATTTAAAAGTCTAAATCTAATTTTTGAATTTCCAATTTTTTTAATAACATTGTAATATAAGAATTCGTTATGTTCAACTTTTTATAAGTAAAACAATAATGTTTTTAGTCTGTTGGGTATTAAACGCAATCTTAGCTGCACACCAATGAAAAATATTAATTTAAACAAAAATATGACACTTTCAAAAAATTTAAAAAATTTAACATTTTTTATTTTTTGATAATTCTTTACTAAACGTTCTTTATTTAAAATTTTGTGACCAATTAAGTATGCTTTTAACAAGAAATTTTAAGAATTTTAATTTAAGAATTTTATCAGAATTTTAAAATTAATAATTGCAAATCTGAATATGAAATCAGATATTGTAAAAATAAAAAATCGAAAATTACTTTTTTACTCTTTGAAATTAACAATTATTATATTTAAATTACTATTATTATTGTTGAATATTATTATTATTATTATTATTATTATTATTATTATTATTATTATTATTATTATTATTATTATTATAGATACAAATTATTTTTACATATAATAAAACTAAATAAACTAAATAAACTTAAATATAATATAATAAATATAATAAAATTAAATTATTTTAATTCTATTAAAAGCAGTGAAAAAATTAAGGGGTTATACCTGCCTGAAAAATTTTTTTTTTCGATTTTTTTTTTTTTGCTTAAAATAGACTATAACATTCCTAGATTAATAATCAATGACGTCCTTGCACGAAAACAACTTGGAAATGTTGTTAAAATTATTTTTTCTGGAGCATTTCGGAAGCGTCATAATGCATAATTTTAATTTTTCCGAAAAAAAATGCTCGACGGAGCATAACTTCAGTGAGAAAGGAGCTGGAAGAGACAAATACGGCCACTGAGGGACAATTATATGGTGCTGGGATAGCAGAGTGAAGGTAAAAAAATTTTATTAACCAAATGCATGAGATTATTAAAAATTATAGTGTTGTGAAACTTCAAACGCGTTTTTCTCGAAACCATATTTTACAAATCGGCGAGCAGTAGAACTCGAAGAGTTATTGTCCGATTGAGCTAAAAATTTAACTGTAGCTTCTTAGTTAAATTATCTAGTGAAGTACACACGATTTTTAAAATTGATGAAGAGAATTTTTTTTTATAAACAATTAAAATCCATTTTTTTGGGTCAAAAATGCGATTTATTTTTATAATTCTCACAATTCTACAAAAAAAATTCTAAAATTATGATCATGTGTACTTCACTAGATAATCTTATGTAGTTTATGAAAAAAATTTTTTTGTGCTTCTAGATGACGATCCAGGAGACTTCAACTGCTCGCCGCGGAGGACTGCAAAAATACATTGCACTTTTTATGCAACCATACAGCCGACAATTTGTAAAATAAATTCGTAATAAAATTTTTTCTCATTATTTAAAAGTTGCTTAATTAAGTGGTATATTAGTTGCCAACGATTATTTAAAACTGTATTCACGAAAAAGCCTTTAAAAACATCCTTTTTTTAAGCCTCGAAACAGGTATAACCCCTTAAATTGAATTGAATAAATAATAATTAAAAATTTATAAAAAGATATTTTAATACAGGAGAACACGTATAGTTGGATGTAATTATAAATTTCAAAATTTATTAAATCTAAATATTATAACCGTCGAAGATGGGTGCGACAGCTAGTTAATAATAATAATAATAATGTAAAATAACAATAATAACAATGTAAAATAATAAGCAGAAAAAATTCACCTTTTTCCAGCTAGATGCATCTTTTACGGCACCACCTTTTATTGCATTTAGTTGATCACTCAATTTATTGAAAAGCTCATCCTATTTCATAATAAATTACAAAAAATGATTTTTTATTATTTCTATATCATTAAGAAGAAACTTACTGTGGTTTTCTTAAAACTGTTTCCTGACAATTTTCTTTGAGCTAGTTCCTTATGAGCCACCATGAATGCAACCATACATTTTTTTTGCTCTAGAGTACAATGTTTTTTTGCCTTTTCTGGTGCCATTTTAATATTTTCTTTTTAATATTAAATTTACCGAAAATCTGTCAAATTTTTATTTCGTCAAAAGACAATCACAGTTACATATGTATGTGTAGATTATAAAAATAAATAAATTATAGTTCGAGTGAAGTTGTACTCGATTGCGATAAGTAAATAATCTTTTAACCAAAAATATGGCAAACTATTTATTAATAGAAGAAATAGAGTTAATAAATAATCATGCGACAAGAGCTCTTAAAATAGCACGCAGGCATTTACGAGACACACAAAATCCTTTTGATTTACCGGAAAATGAATTCCGCAATATGTACCGGTAAAATAAGATTAGTCAATTATGAGATATTATATCTATGACAGTATAAATATTTTTTATGAAAACAATAAGATGTGAACAAAATATGATATGTAATTCACGATAGATTTAATCATGATTACTCGGATCTCAGACGCTTATTCAATATCCCTGAAATTTCATCATATTTTATATATACTGATTTACTATTTTTATACAAAATTCTTAATAATTATATCGATTGTCCTGAGATTCTGTCAAAAATTAATTTTTATGCTCCATTTAAACACCTTAGAGATCGCCCTTTGTTTAAAACAAATTTTCATAGATCAAACTTTGCCAAAAATTCTATTTATGATAGATTGTCCGAAGAGGCAAACTTATATTGTAACAATTTGGATTTTTTTAACTCTTCGCTAAGTAATTTCACAATGTCTTTGCGCAAACTTTTTCTTTTTGATAGTAATAACAACGCTACCTAGTTATAGTTATTTTTGTTATTCGGTTTTTAAGAAACATTATATTTTATGTTTCATTATTCTTAGTACTTCGGTACGAAAGGGCTAATTTTTCTTTCTTTGTAAGCCCGTTTACATGTAAATAAATAAATAAATAAAATAATTTAATTTATCTAATAATAATTTTCCATTTTATCTTTTCAATTTTTATATTAATTTTATATTTATTAATAGATATAAATTCCTAAAAAATAACCAAACAATAATTTAAAATTAATTGCTGCTAATTATTTTTAACTATATATAGTTCATGAATAAGTTTAAAAATTTTTTTAATTTTAAGTAATGAAATTTGTTTTTCGTTAATTTTTTAAAAAATATATTGTAATTTTTTTGACAATAATTATAGTTTATCGAGAATTGCGGCAAGAGATTTTATCAATCAACTTGTTCCTTTTATGCCTGAAACGCAAAGAATTACTGCTATCTCATCTCCCATGAAGGTTATTTGATTTTCTTTTTAGAAATAATTTATATTTTTTTTATTTATTATTATTTTATTTTTAAAAAATTATATTTATTATTATTAAATCATTATTTCATTTTAATACGACACTTATTTATTACTTAATTTCAGATACTTGCAGTTATAAATTTCCTAGCATCTGGTTCTTATCAACGCAGAGTAGGGGTTTCTTATCAGAGTTGTATGTCTCAAACATCCATTAGCAAAGCTCTACATGAAACTTTAAATGCTCTCCATCAAGCAGACAATCATTGGATAAATTTTCCGCGAACTGTAGGCGCAATGCAAACAATACAAAGAAGGTTATATTCAATGGTCTGTTACTCATAATATTAAAGTATTGTAATAACATATATTCACCTGACTAACAATGATATAGTTATATGTGGATGACTAGTAAAAAGTTTGATTAATGCGTTTTTTTTTATCAATTTAACCTAATAATCGACATGCTTAAAGACTCGTCAATTTTTATGATTTTGTGACTTAGATTTCTTTTTAGATTTTTTGAAAGATTCGGTTTTCCGAATGTTGTTGGTGTAGTGGACGGTACACATATAGCAATATTTCCACCTGAAGGCTAAATCGAAGAAGCGTACTTTAATAGAAAAGGATTTCACTCGCTAAACTCTATGATAGTATGTTTGTTTTAAATAGTTAAGGGGAGGGACGGGTGAAATTTCAACCCTTCGATATTTTTTGACAATTTTTCCTGACATTATTACTTAGGATTTAAATTTATTCTAAATTATTACAATTAAAAAAAATTTGTTGATTTTTAAAAATTTATTTATTTAAATAATTAAAATTTTTCAAAATCCATAAGATTGATTGTTTAGAATAGTAAAAAAAGGCTATAAAAAATTCGTCAAAAAAAATGTGGAAGAAGTTGAATTTTTAAAGTATTACAAGTAAAAATAAAGCGAATAAAAATTGACATTTTTCAGGGGTAATAAATTTTTTTTAATATTTTTTCAATACCAAAAATAATATTGAATTATAACAAATTAATATAAGTACTTTTTAACTGATTTACAACTTCGTTTATTTTTAAAAAATTTGCTTTTTTGAAAAAATTTAAAATTTTGAAATCCCATGCGATTGATTGTTTAGAATCATGAAACAAGCGTTAAAAAACGGCAATCAAAATTAGTAAAAATTGCAAAACTAGTTTGAATTTTTATTCAAAAAATTATCTACTAATTAATTTTTTTAAATTTTTTGAAGCATATTATAATTTTAAATACTCAAATTTATAAGAAAAATAATTTACCACTCATAAACAATAAAAATTTAGATGGGTTGAAATTTATTTACCGGTTTTTCCCCTAAAAAAATTTTAAAATTAGACAAAATAGAAATTATCGTCTAAGAATGATATTAAAAATCAATTGATGAATATCTATATAATATTAATAGTGTTTATTAAAATTAAAATTTACAGTAATATCCATATTAATTTATATTATCTTTCTGTTAATTTTTAAAGGTTTGTGGTCCTGACAATGAAATTTTATTCGTAAATTCAAGATATGGGGGAAGAACCCATGATGCGAGAGTTTATAGAAACTCAGCATTAGCTGCTTTTATGCAAGAAACATATAATGAAGGACTTAGAAACTTTTGGCTCATAGGTTTTTTAAAAAATTTAATTTTACCTTTCATAACGTTTTTCAAAATTATCGACCTATATCATAAATTTTGCAAATTATCACTCAAATAATCAAACTTATTTTAAAATTATTACATCAAAATTGTGCTGAAATATTAAGGCAACATTTATTGTGTCCTCCGCTTTACATTGCCTGACAACTGAGTATATAATAAAAAATATATAATAATTAATTAATTAATTTTTATTATTATTATTTATTATTATTACGTATTATTTATTTGTATTTATTTAATTAAATATATAACAATAATAATAATAATAATTAACAAACTATGATTTCCTAGCAATATATCTCTAACAGCAATGGATATTTTAGGATATCCGACGGACATCCTAGTCGTATCCGAAAATTAAGATATCTCTAGGATATCCATAGGATATCAACGGATATCCCTGGGAGATCCTATGGATATCTAAATCGCCCGATATTTATGGGACGTCTGTAGGATATCCTGAATATCCGGATGCTGTTAGGGATTTAAATAATATTTAGGTTATATTGCTGAAAGATATAATAACCTTTTAATTAGATGTCGTTCAATTATAGAAAGAGTCATAGGAATTTTGAAAGCGAGATGGAGATGTCTAAGGAAAGAAAGGGGTTTGCACTACGATCCAGTTACTGCTGGTATAAATAACAAAATTTTCATATTTGTAATTTTCTGATGGAGCTGGATTTAAATATTATTTATAATAATATGTATAATTATAATAATATATATTATAATATTATAATTGTATAATCTTATATAAAGTATAGTAATATGATACTATAATTATATAATAATACATTTCTAAAATTAAACATAAAATATATAGGTTTAATTGTTAACATGTGTTGTGTTCTACACAACATATGTAGGCAATATGGAATACCAGATCCAGCATTACCTCGTAATGTTGAAGAGGTAGAGGACATCGACGAAGAAGAAGATAATGAAATTGAAGACGGAGAAGATGTCCGAAATAGTATTATTCAAGATTTCTTTCAGTAGAATATTTTTTAATTTGATGAAATGATTATATTTAAATTTAAAAAAATTACATTTTGTTTTAGTTTTAAAAAAAATTTAATAATTCTAATAAACTTTGTAAATGTATGTTTTATAATTTATTATAAAATATTCCCCTTGTTTCCAATTACTCTAAATTACACCATTCTAATTTTTTTTTTAAAAAGTGTATTCTAATATTTTTTTTTGTCAAAATAAATAATATATTTTTATAAAATGATAAAAAAAATATATTTTGTTAAAATATATAAATTATTTGTTGTGGAAAAGATCAATAGCTCTAAAAAAATTTATTAAATAAATAAATATATGAAATATTCGTATAATTGTTATAAAATTTAAATCAATTAAAATTTATGATTTTTAGAAAAATATAAACAAAATATTTTTTTGAAATTATTTAATTTGAAATTTAAATTCTTTGACTTAGTTCACAGTAAAGAAAACAATGAAGTTTTCACTTAAGAGCATTTGAACCTTCGTGACGTCACAAATCATGGCGCATGACACGCAAACTTCTCAGGTATGTGAAAAGCACAATTTTGAATATTTTTTAAAAAAACCTTTTGGAAAATGTTCAGAATAACATAGACTCTGTCTGTTATATGCGGAAAATTCAAAATTTTGCGTTTAAAACGTTTTTTAAACAATGTTAAGGTCACAAATCATGGCGCATGACACGCAAACTTCTCAGGTATGTGAAAAACACAATTTTGAATATTTTTTAAAAAAACCTTTTGGAAAATGTTCAGAGAAACATAGACTATGTCTGTTATGTGCGAAAAATTCAAAATTTTGCGTTTAAAACGTTTTTTAAACAATGTTAAGGTCACAAATCATGGCGCATGACACGCAAACTTCTCAGGTATGTGAAAAACACAATTTTGAATATTTTTTAAAAAAACCTTTTGGAAAATGTTCAGAATAACATAGACTCTGTCTGTTATGTGCGGAAAATTCAAAATTTTGCGTTTAAAACGTTTTTTAAACAATGTTAAGGTCACAAATCATGGCGCATGACACGCAAACTTCTCAGGTATGTGAAAAACACAATTTTGAATATTTTTTAAAAAAACCTTTTGGAAAATGTTCAGAGAAACATAGACTATGTCTGTTATGTGCGAAAAATTCAAAATTTTGCGTATAAAACGTTTTTTAAACAATGTTTAATTTGGTTGTCACAAGTAAGGAAAAATACACGAATTGCTTATATGTAGGCATTGTTTAAAAAACGTTTTAAACGCAAAATTTTGAATTTTTCGCACATAACAGACAGAGTCTGTGTTATTCTGAATATTTTCCAAAAGGTTTTTTTAAAAAATATTCAAAATTGTGCTTTTCACATACCTGAGAAGTTTGCGTGTCATGCGCCATAATTTGTGACCTTAACATTGTTTAAAAAACGTTTTAAACGCAAAATTTTGAATTTTCCGCACATAACAGACAGAGTCTATGTTATTCTGAACATTTTCCAAAAGGTTTTTTTAAAAAATATTCAAAATTGTGCTTTTCACATACCTGAGAAGTTTGCGTGTCATGCGCTATGATTTGTGACGTCACGAAGGTTCAAATGCTCTTAAACAAAATAAAAGCCTGTCATTATGTATTTGACGTTTTCACTTTTGATTTGGTATTAGTCTTTCAGTTGAGATTTATTGAAAAGCATCGAGATGTCTAAAACTATGTCTAATTTGCAGCGCGCTATATTTTTACGCTTTATGAATAATCATAAAGCGTTAGCTGCAGGTGAAAGAATAGGGAAAGGTAGACAAGCTACAAATGTAAGAATTGTAAAATTTTATTCCGCTAAATTAAAAGTTTATTTATATTCATTATAAAAATAAAATTTCTATTTCTAGTCTATTTTTAATATTTGAAAAGTAAAAATTTATTTATGTTTTATAGAAAAATTTATGGCAAATGGTGGCAACAGTTCTAAACCTTGAAAAAAATGGTATTATGAAAACCGCAGAATGTTGGGAAAAGGTAGAAATATATCTTTTAATTCTTAACAGTGAGATTGTAGAGTAGAAATAAAAATTAAGCTATTTAAACTTATATTAAAATGTCCTCTTCTAGATGCTAAAATATTATACTTAATAAATGAAACTTAATATAAATTGATTTTAAAAATAATTAATATATTTGAGTTTACTTTTTTACTATATAATAATAATAATAATAATAATAATAATAATAATAATAATAATAATAATAATAATAATAATAATAATAATAATAATAATAATAAAATGAAGCAAACTTTATATTTTACTTATATTTTTATAAGTAGATATGGAAAGAATGGAAAAGTGAAGTAAAGAATAAATACAGACTTGAAAAAAAGAATTTACAAGCAACTGGTGGAGGATCTCCAATAGAAATTAACTTTGGGTACTTAGATGATCAGCTTATTAAGCTCCTAGAGAAAGATAAGGAAGATTTAATACTTCCACCCCCTGAAGATTGGGAAATAAATGCTCTAGAGTCCTTAATGAAATCAAATATTCCTTCCACTTCTGGCGTTAAAAGTCAAAAAGAACCAATCAAGGTGAAATATAAATAATAATAATAATTTTTAATTTTTAAAATAATAAAAATAATAACAACAACAACAATAATAATAATAATCATACCTAAAATATACTAATTATATTAATAGAAAACAGTTAACAATAAAGCTAAGTTTAAAAAGAAGTAAATTTATTATACTAAAAATATAAATTAAACCGATTTCTTTATTATCTGAAAGGCTCAATGTTTTGAAGTCAAAAATAATCGGGAAGCATTGAATTCTTCTGGATCCGAGTCAGATGGTAAATTAGTTTACTTTCTATTAAATATTCCATATTAAATGTAAAATTAAAATTGAATATTTCTATATTATGAGTAATTCATTTTTAAAAAATAGATTTAATTATTGTTGACGATGAAAAATTAGCTCTAGTAAAACAATCATCATCATCCAGTGCTAATTCTTTGATAAGACCACGATTAAGTAAGAAAAAATTTTTATATATAAATATATTTATAAAACTTATAAATATTTACTTTTTTAAAAATATTTTGAACCATTTAAAATTGTAACATTATAAAGAAATTTATTCTTTATTACAAATGAAACATAAAAAATTATTGAAAGGGAATGCAGAGGGGGATGAGAAACGTTTTAACAAAAATGAATTTAATTAATTTCAATAAAAAATTTTTTAAAATAAGTATAAATTCATGTATTATAAAACATTCAATGTAAAAATATTTTATTCTTTAAAGTTTTTCAGATATTTATTAAAAAATCATGTAATTATTAAAACAGATTTGTTGACAAGGAAAGCTCCAATATGTGACCAAATGTCGAATTATCAAAAATGTAAAATAAAAATATTAAATGACAACTTGAAAATTCAACAAGAATTCCTCGAAATCCACAAAAATACAACTAAAGAGATGATTCAAATCCTAAATAAAATTGCTGACGGATTTAATGATGCGTTCGAAGGATGGAAAGAGAATAGTGTGGAGTGATTTTATCTTAATTTGATTAAGAGAAATTCCAAATTAATTTTTTATACATGGATATCCGGCGATTAGGATATCCGTTGATATTCTATGAATATCCTAAAGATATCCTAATTTCTGGATACCACTGAGGTGTCTGTCGGATATCCTAAAATATCCGTTGCTGTTAGGGTAATTATTTTTTATTAAAAATATTTATATTTTTGTTTGGTTAAAGTTATTTCTATGCCGCCCTTTAAACATATTTAAACGGCTGATTTTTCAAATTTAATTTTTACATTTAAACAAATTCATTTTGTAGCTCGTCAGCAATTTTTACACCCTTTAAAAGTAACCAACACTTTTTAAAAATTGTAATAGAATAGAAATATTAAATTTTATTATTATTATTTTTAGTTCTTAAATGTTAAACCTTTATTAAATGCGATAGTATGCAAAGAAAACTAATTAATTGACTTAAAATTAAAATAAGAAATAAATTTGTCGAAATAAACTTGACTCTGATGTCAAAGTCAATTTGAAAAAAAAATTTGTCAAAATAAATTTGACTCTGATTTCAAAGTGAAATTGAAAAATAAATTTGACTTTGACGGCAAAGTCAATTCAAAAAAAAAATTTGTCAAAAAAAAATTGACCTTGACGTCAAAGTCAATTCCAAAAAAAAATTTGTCAAAAAAAATTGACTTTGACGTCAAAGTCAAATCAAATTACATAATCGAACCCCAGTATTCAATCAAATCACAAGAGGTTAACACCTCAGAACATACAGTTCCTGAAAAAACTCGGTCTAAGAGTTTATCAAGAAAAAAAAGTAAAAACAAAAAATTATACTTTATATATATTTTTGTTGTTGTTGTAGCTATAAAAATGGAAGAGATTTTAAACATTCAAACTCCTGTCAAATATGACAATTCTCTAGCACATTATGAGATTCATGCACATCAGCCATACGTTTCATCAACATTTAATAACAGTGATGCGATTCGTATTGCAGTTTATGCTGAGAATGCTGGTTATATTGACTATGATGATGCTAGTAGAGTAACTAATGATCATGGATATTTTGATGTAAATGTACCACTAAATATGATTCTTGGATTTGTTGAAGACTATCGAAAGATTGTTGTAAATGCAAAACATGAACTTATCTTAACAAGATCTCGTACAGATCTTAATGCTATAGTTAATATTCAAGGAGTAGAACGAGAAGAATTCAAAATTGTAATAAATAAAGTTGAATGGATGATTCCATACCTATTTGTTGGTGATCGACAGAAAATTGAATTGTTAAAATTTACTGAAAAAGATTCACCAATAACAATGAGTTTTAGATCATGGGATTTGTATAAATATCCTATGATTCCTGCTACTCAAAAACATGTGTGGACTGTAAAAACATCAACACAAATTGAAAAACCTCGATATGTTATCCTTGGTCTTCAAACAAATCGAAAAAAAAATCGAGCAAGATATTCAAACTTTTTTGATACTTGTAATTTAAATAATGTTAAACTTTTCTTAAATTCATAATACTATCCTTATGGTAATTTGAACTTAAATTTTAATCA